GTGTACTGATCAGTTATTTGTGTTTATTTGCGTGATAAACTGGAGTATTCAAATATAGGCTCTCAGTTATCGATCCACATGAAGAATGCGTACAACAATAACACCCGAACTGAATAGTGGATAAACTAACTAGAGAAAATGGACGTTATGAAAAAGACGTGTTTAACTCCATTCTGCGTTACACAATGCGTATCAATAAACTTTGCTTTGTCAGCTCATAGATATAAATTTAAGATCCTATTGTTTTTATGTAGAATCTGTGCATTTCCTTGTTTGAATTGTCTCAATGAAAATAACTAATAAAAAAACTAGAAAAGGAAGCTGGCAGCAGATAGTAAAAAAAGCTTATCTAAGTTTACAGGATGATAAAAGAGAAAGATTGATTTTATACGAGGCTTGACTTATGGCAGATTTATGAGATACAGGTGCCGCGCATTCAGCGGTTGTTGTACGGCGTTATCATACCCATGTGCCAAACTTAGATTGTCTCTGTTAAAGGGAGGATATCTAGTGTGTAAATTATAAACAGGTTATAATTCTGCTTGTTCAATCCTTTCTCACGTGCGTTCCACCCTGCCATTACAGCAGATAAATAATAGACCATTCCGTTTTCATCGCGAAGGAAGACGAAAGAAAAAGATATATCGGAGACGCTGTTTTGTTTTCGGGAAAAAAAGAAAGTGTAAATAATATGAAAGAAAGAAAAAGAGAAAAAAGACTGAAATAAATAAAGAAAGAAAATTAAGGAATAAAGAAAGAAAGACGCAAGGAACGGTTATTTTGTTAACTATTAATTTTGGAAATTGTTTTCAAACAAAAGATGGCGTAAAGTTTCATTAAGGAAACTGTAAAAAAAAAACTTTATCAAATTAAATTGAAAAAAATTAAACGCCTTGCCATTGTCTTCGATAAATAAGAAATCATTTCAATTTGATTTGGAATAAGGTTGAAAGAAAATCATATATCAGACGCTGTCTAGTTTTAGTGAGAAGAAGAAAGAAGACATAAGAAAGAAAGAAGGAAAGAAAGAAAGAGAGAAAGAAAGAAGGCAATAAAGAATGAAAGAAAAAATTAAGATAGAAGGAAAGAAAGAAAGAAAGAAAGAAAGAAGGAATGCTTATTTTGTTAACTATTAATTTTGGAAATTTATATTCAAACAAAAAAATGGCGTAAATTTTCATTGAGAAAATGATGAAATAAATCTTTATTAAACTAAATTAAAAGAATATACGTCTTGCCATTGTCTTTGATTAATAATAAATCATTCGAATTTAGAAGAAAATCATACATCAAAAGCTATCTAGTTTTAATAAGCAGAATAAAGCAGATATAATAAGAAAGAATGAAAGAAGGAAAGACAGAAAAGAGAAAAAAAAAAAAAAAAAAATGAAAACCCTCCAAAGTATCAAAGAAAAAAGAAGAACCCGTTCTGTGGAGAAAGGCAAGAAAGGGTTTACATATGTTTTTAGAGTTAAAATATTGGAGGTAACATTATCAGTAAGAACACTGCATGCAAACAAGCATTAACGCAATCATACTTAAGACGTACTAATGAGTACATATTTCGTTTTACTTTATGTGTATATAAATATTTATGGTGTATCTTGTGAAAGTCAAACATTTAGAATAAAGTGTTTTTTTTTAATACAGAATTTTATAATAATAAATAAATATATTATATATATATATATATATATATATATAAATTCTAGCCGTTTGAAATTATTTTTCTTTTTTTTTTTTTTTCGTTTCCTTCTAACAGACTATATATATATATATATATTCGTAATTATAAATGACCTCTCTAACAAATCCTATAAACGTGGTCTAATTTCAGGCGAGAGTGGTGGATACATCATTCGTTGGAATATTCCAAAATTACTTCTCAAACTGGTTCTGGGTAACATGCGATTCCCTGGTTACTTTCCTGATCAAACCATAATTCAGCCATGGGACTAGATTACGTTATTTACTTTCATTTGATCATCTGTGTTACTAAGGTGTACTTTTAATACATCACGATCTGATTTCATATTTGATAAGCAATGTTGCTGAATATATTACACATATTACAATGTATCGGATACATTGTGAGAATCGAAATCTATTGTAATCTTATTTATCAGTGCAGTTCAATGAAACTCTGAGCGAAATCTAATAATGAAACGAATTATTAGTCTAAAACGGGGAAGAAGGGAAAATAAAAATAAGTTAATTGAGTTTATTTAGCACTTGTGCGAAACGTGAGGATACGGAGTAACGAACCGAACAAATTTCAGTTAAAACTGAACTCATCTCGTCAAGTAATTGGTTTGCACGTATTTCCTCTCACTTAAGCCCCGCACTTGAGTCGATATCGTGTCACGTGACACCGACCATCAGCCATGACTCTTTCGTGCAACAACTAAGACAAATAGGACATGTTTTTGTTTTGTTTTTCAATTTCTTTCTTTTTTTTTCTTTGCTTAATTTCATTATTTTCAAATCTATAAAGACGACAATTAAGTCTTAATGTCATGACGGGAGAATAATCAAACGAAGGAAATGTAATAGACTGAAAAGAAAAAAAAATTCATGGTGGATAAAAAGTAAAACACAACTGCTGCGAATATTCAGTTAAGGTATTTTGGTTAAAATTGACTCGTTACCGTAATGTTTTCAAGTAGGAAAATATATGAAACAAGCAGAGATTAACTTTACTTTCTAGACAAAGGCAATTATGCCCTCTACAACTTTCTATCTTTTGTAACTCTTAATAATTATTTTTACTATCTCTCTTTTGTCCTGGGTATAACGATAAATTACATCCGGTAGCAAGTTTTCTTACCGGGAGGTTTTGAGGAGCGTTGAACCACCTCTTTACTGCTTTTGTTCCCAGGTCCGCTCTAACCCAAGGTGATATCACCTGTTAGGGTCCCAGCTATGGGTAAATAGTGAAACCCCAAACTGGGGTCAAAGCATGAAAATATAAAAATACATTGGAAAAAATTACCAGTAATACATTTTCATAGTAAAAAAATAAATAAAATAAAAATTATCAGCAATACATCATTCCTCGGTATGACAATAAAGTACATCTGGCAACAAGGCGTCTGGTCGGGAAATTGCGGGTTTGGAAGAACGTGGAAACACTTCTTAATTGCAGTTGTTCCGTGGTCCACCCTGACTCAGCTGGTAGTACTTCTTAGGGTTCCAGCTATGGGTAAATATGAACTCCCAAACAAAAATAATAGTACATATTTATAATAAAATGACCAACAATACATTTTCATAGCAAAATGACCAACAATACATTTTTATAGTAAAATGACCAACAATACATTTTTATAGTAAAATGACCAACAATACATTTTTATAGCAAAATGACCAACAATACATTTTTATAGCAAAATGACCAACAATACATTTTCATAGTAAAATGACCAACAATACATTTTTATAGTAAAATGACCAATAATACATTTTATAGTAAAATGACCAATAATACATTTTTATAGCAAAATGAACAACAATATATTTTTATAGTTAAATGACCAATAATACATTTTTATAGCAAAATGACCAACAATACATTTTTATAGCAAATGACCAACAATACATTTTCATAGCAAATGACCAACAATACATTTTATAGCAAAATGACCAACAATACATTTTCATAGCAAATGACCAACAATACATTTTATAGTAAATGACCAATAATACATTTTTATAGCAAATGACCAACAATATATTTTTTATAGTAAATGACCAACAATACATTTTATAGCAAATGACCAACAATACATTTTCATAGCAAATGACCAACAATACATTTTTATAGCAAAATGACCAATAATACATTTTTATAGCAAAATGACCAACAATACATTTTCATAGTAAAATGACCAACAATATATTTTTATAGCAAAATGACCAATAATACATTTTTATAGTAAAATGACTAACAATACATTTTCATAGCAAAATGACCAACAATACATTTTTATAGCAAAATGACCAACAATACATTTTTATAGTAAAATGACCAACAATACATTTTTATAGCAAAATGACCAACACTACATTTTTATAGTAAAATGACCAACAATACATTTTTATAGTAAAATGACCAACAATACATTTTATAGTAAAATGACCAATAATACATTTTTATAGCAAAATGACCAACAATACATTTTCATAGCAAAATGACCAACAATACATTTTTATAGTAAAATGACCAACAATACATTTTTATAGCAAAATGACCAACAATACATTTTTATAGTTAAATGACCAACAATACATTTTTATAGTTAAATGTCCAACAATACATTTTTATAGTAAAATGACCGACAATACATTTACAGCAAAATGCCCAATAATACGTTTTATAGAAAAATGACCAACAATACATTTTTATAGTGAAATGACAATAAATGCAACACTAAAAAAATATAAAAATGCATTTTTATAGTAACACTACAAACAATACATTTTATGTTGCACAAATACACATTTAAAAACATACTTTTAGTCTGAAAGCCTAGAATTATGTACAACGTATGTGTAGTTGAAAGCATAAAATAACATGCAAAATATTTAGATTTGGGCATCAAATAACACATAGGGATTGATATGCCGCCAAACAAAATCAACCAGCCAACCAAGCAGCCAACATGAAAAAAACCTTTCATGACATTAGTCCATATAATATCCTACAACTTCTTAAATGAAACGGTATTCTAAAAGATAACTTAAACAAACTACAACATAAAACAGACACATATCACCGCCTCTAGTGATCATGTCAACGCAAACTTGTATCGGCACAAAAGCTAAGTATCAGCTACCATGTATTCACTTGTGAAAGCAGAATAACATATATTTATATTACTTCAAAGCTCTCAAGAAAATTAAATTTCAGCCTTAAATGAACCATAAGGAGTCGATATGCCAAACGAAAAAAACACCCAACTTACAAACATTTACATAAAATTGTTAGGTAAGTTACTCGT